ATTTATTAATTATTTAAAGAAAATTTTTTTTTTAAAAAAAATTGTATGGTAGTAAAAAGCTACAAAACTACTTGATAGCACTGTAATTTTATTGGTCACTTAGCTAACACGTGGAATAATCTAGAAAAAATCTAGAACAACCCGACGGATGATCATTACTAGATAAGGTGCGATCTGCAATGACCAAATATGGTATATTCCTAGACTGAAATATATTGATTGTAGATTCAGATTTAATCAAGATTTGTAGTCACATGGATAATAACGTATATAAATTTAGAAACGATCATAGGGTTACGATAAGATATAATTTAACTTTGGAAGTGATCATCAAATTCTTTCGCAGCCATGATCATTGATTATAAATTCATCATACGGGTAAGAAATTCGACATAAAAAGTGATGAAATAATCTATTCTATATTCTAGCGTAAGTTGAGTATACTTTTGATTTTGATATTTTTTTTTTCTCGTTTTCTAAAAGAAAAATATTTTCTTTACATGTACATGTATCTAGTATTAAAAAATGAAATGTGCGAATTTCCTTTTCTAGGTATTATACGAACATTGTAAAATGCGGAAAACCCATTACACCGCATGAACATATATGGTAAAGTATACCGGTCAAAATTAAGTAGGCTACTAATTTACTGTATGCATTTTTGAACAGTATTTCAAGCTTGGTTTGATTTTGTCTGTATTTCAATATGTCTGTCACAATTAAGGAGACTCTTTACGTTAAGCCATCCAGGCCAACGAAACATGTTCAAATTGCGCTTTCTAATTGTGACATTATCGTGTCAACAATTTATGTTGGGCCCATTTATTTTTTTAAAAATGTTTTAAAGAAAGATAATTTTATGAACATTCAAAAACTTTTAGCATCACTTGGGGATGTGTTAAACGATTATTATCCTCTGGCTGGCACACTTAAAAGTGCATTTGATGGTAGACCTATTATCGACTGTAATGATCGTGGCGTTCAATTTATCGTTGCTGAGTGTTCTGGCATTACAATCAATCAGCTTGAAGAAAAGAATTGGGAACATGCAGCTATTCCTCACGGATTAAGGCAAAAAGAAAATATACGTACTGAAATTAATCCAATTCTATTTACAATACAACACACTACTTTTGTTGATGGATCCATAGCCCTTGGTTTTGCTATACATCATCATATTATGGATGGTTATGGTCTTTTTACTTTTATTAAAAATTGGGGACGAAGAGCTCGTTTAGAACAGATTGACCCACCTATTCATGATCGAAATTTGCTAAAAGCAAATGGTAACCATTCAACATATGTTCCTTATGAATATTTTGTAATGAAACCGACTGAAATTATTTATCCACACGGACCTACAAATAAGTCTTTAACTACCAAAATTTTCCGCTTTTGTCAAGATGATCTTAAGAGATTACATGATTATTATTCTGCTGGTATTCCTAATGGGTCTTGGATTTCAACAAATGATGCACTTGTAGCTCACTTTTGGAGGACAATGACTAGAGCTCGAAATATTAATTTAAATACTGAAGTATTTTGTAGCATTTCTCTTAATGGACGTGATAGATTAAATCCACCTATTCCAAAAAGTTATTATGGAAATGTTGTTTTGTAAATATATTTGATTTGTTTATTATTATTATTATTATTATTTGTTTTACACTTAAAATAACCTTAATATTATTTAATTTATTTGTGTTTAGCCAAGTATGTCCAAAAATGCTTGTATCTCAATTGATTAACGGTTCACCATCTTCAGTAGCACTTCAAGTTCGAAAGGCCATTACCGATATGAATAATAGTCGTATGCGATCTATAATTAATTGGGTTGAACAACAACCAGATAAATCATTGATTTCTGAAAGTGTTTTGTTCAATGGCGAAGATTTTGGAATAACTAATGTGTCAAAATTTCAAAAGCATAATTTAATAGATTTTGGCGATGGAAATCCTATAAAACAGAGACGTTGTCGAGAATTTGCAACTGATGGGTTTTCTATAGTGCTGAGTACTGAGACCGATGATGGAATAGAAGTTTACTTTAGTTTACAAACTGAAAAATTGGAAATCATGGAGCAGGATCCTGAATTTAAGAAATTCATTGTTTTATAACAGTTTAGAATAACCGCCTCCAGATTTTCTGCTATTAAATCAATCTGAAATTTTTTTTTATTAATTTTTTATTAAAAACTAAAGATCCTGTGCTCGTAGGCATGCATTAAAATATAAAAAATTGTAAACAGATATTCTAGAGTTATTAGACAAATTCTAAAAGCTTATCATTGATAAAAGCAAAACTAGACCTTTCTAAGTACAAATGCATTTCAGGTTCCAAGGCGTGCATTGAGAAATTTGATGTATAACCTTTTGCATCATTTTTTCTTTGTGTGTATCTATACGTACGTACTTAATTGTTTTACAAATATTTGCCTAAATTAAAAGATTCATTGAATTAGTGCGACAGTCTCTCCTCCTTGTAGAGCTTGGATCCGGTCATCAGTTTTCATATTAAGTTTGCATCCAACGGTAACCGGATCCAAAGTTCTACCTTTGATTTAGATGCAACGTACTGTTTTTAGGCAAAACTATTTTTGGCAAATTGCAAAAGTCTAAACTAAACCCAGCAAAAGTCAAAACAGGCAAAACCCCTGGTAAAGCTAAAACCCCTGAAGAAAGTCAAACACAGTGAAGATTATATCCTCTAAGACTTTAGAAAGACTGAGCCAAGTTGGTAAATTAAAATATTTTGCGTAT